TTTTAATTTAAGGAAGGTAAAAATGCAACTAAAATGAAAAAAAAAAGAAAAAAGAAAAAAGAAGTTTAGTGAATAATCAAACAGGTCAAAAGCATTGAAAAAAATTTAATGTTTGAGATCCTCTAGCTGAATGATATTCCAGTTAGATAGGCTTCTTGAATATTATTTCAATATATTCCATTTTTGAACAAATTGTGATGGGCAATGAAAAGCAGATACTTTACAACAACACAAGTGTTCATGGGACAATTAAAATAAACTGTCATTAACCATACCAAAGGTCAGTCTTCATCCAAAGGGGTAGCTGTGTCTATAATGAGACAAGAAGGAAGTTCTTTAACACAAACTCCTTCTGGAGAACCAAAAAGATTAATTATACAAGAACTGCACCCAGTTAAATCAAATGAAGGCAATAATTTATGAAAAGTATTCAGATTTAGTTTAAATTATAATATCCCATCAGGATAATAGTCAGCCACCAGATTTCTGGATGGCCAGATAAAAATGATTTTTGTTCAACTAAAATTTTTTTCACTCATCTGTGCAACTTCAGGTTAGATTTTAGTCTTTACAGAATTTCCTTAACAAAAAAAAAAAAAAAAAAAAAAATTAATTCAATTTCTTGAAAGACTTCAAAAGGCCCCCAAAGCAGTTCTTTGCTGAAAAAGAAAGAATTCTGGAAGGAAGAAATGGAGTTATTTGAAAGATGATAGAATATTAAGGTTCCCAAGAAACAATGACTTAGTCAAGAAAAACTTTAAAAAAAAAAATCCGTATTAAATTTATATATCATATATATATATATTCCCTATCACTGTCAGTTCTATGGTTATCACAGTGTAGAAAATAAAGTTGGGAGCAACCTCAGAGTAAATAAATGGTAAAGCAAATCAAAGACATTAAAAATCTTAAAAATAGGTATCATCAATTAATGAACTACATGAACAGTTAACATATCACATTGAGATCAACACTTAAGTAATTATTTTGAAAACTAAAATGAAAATTAGAAAATGGTTTTTATTGGTCCATTGCAGCCAAGAAGAAGTAACAATGCCTGCTTGTAATATTTTTTTTTTTTTAAGAAAACATGCTCACTTCATAATACAAACAGGTTTTGCTTTGACAATACATATAAAGACAGCACTATGTTCTGTTAATAGATCAAAAAGTAAATGCAGCATAATTTAGTTAAATATCCTTCTTGATATTCTAATTACAGAAGCAAATGTTCAAATACCAAATGTGAAATGTTAACTAAGAAGTTCAAAAACATTTAATTAATTTACATGAAAAAAGGAATTAAGTTGTGCATTTAAGAAACCAATATTCAAATAATGATGTCATCATCTGCTAACATGAGGAGAGAGAGTGCATGCATTGTGTGTGTGTGATTAGGAAATATTCACAAAATAAAAAAAAGGGAATATGGTATCAACTTAAAAGTTCACCTCTCCTATTCAAGGTAACACCACAAGTGCAGTTTGAAACAAGTGAGAAATATTCCACATGCATCTATGAAATATGACATTTGAAAAAATTGCCTTCAAGTTTTAGAAAATCTACAGGAAGCCACATATTTTTGTTTAAATCAATAAAGAAGCAGCAGCAGCTGGGATCAAATGCAAATCATTAAATAGCAATGGAGTTATCTTCCCTAGAAATGAGCGAGAGGCAGTGGGCCAATGAAAATATTAGGAATCCACATTAGTTCTCCAGCTTTCCATTTGAGATTAAATTTATCTCAATTACAGCTGAAGATGGATATTTGACATGTTGATCCATTTCAGTTGTAGTCTTCCCCCATCCCCCAAGAAAGAAAGGAACTGTCAGCTGGTTATAACAGCTGAAGCAGACCTTAAAATAAGTTTCTTTCAACTAATTGCTTCTCTGTGATCAATGATGTGCAAATACTTTCATCATCTGCAGAAATTAATGAGCTGTTACAATGTGCCCATTTTACAGTCAAGTAAATGTACTGACTAATCACTCCACAGTAGTTTGACTGATTACCCCAAATCTCCAAAGCAGATTTACACAAATGTGGTTCCCTTGGTGGTAGTTAGAAACAAGTAATTGTATAAAAAAAAATCTTTTTTTTTAAATCAATATGTGGAGGAGGGAATTCAATAAGTGATAGACAAATTGGAATATGTGGTAAATATTAAAAAAATAAATAAATAAAAAGGAAAATTTAAGATAACTAAATTTGTAAACCAAAAGAATGCATATTTGGCTAAAAGTGATTTCAAATGTAAAAATGTGCTGAAAATATAATCAGCCAAATATTTACTTTTAATAAATTTCTTAAACCTATAAATCTTATCAGGATCACTTAATACCCATCACCTACTTTTTCCTTTTTTAAAATTCAACTTTGTAATATATAAAACTAGCTTACCATGCCACAAAAATATTGCATAAATATATGAAATTAAGTCTTTGAATGTGAATCTTTAAATATATTTTTACAAATTATTATTGTGGTCATTGTTGCTCT